TGAGCTCATCACGCTCATCTTTCCCTTGTTGATTGACATCATCCACAAAGGTAGTTGTGCTACAACCTTGTACTCCACCTTGTGGTTGTCGACTTGCCTCACGCGGCATCTGTCGTCTCATCTCATACTGTTGCACTCCCATTGGAACTCTTTCCAAGGGTGATCCATCATCTTGCCGATGACCTCGTCTTTGAGATTGATCTCGCAGACCACTTGGTACGATTCGATGACCTTGAACTTGACGTCGTTCAGGTCCATAACCATGACTGACTCCTCGGTGGCGTCCAGTCTCTTGCACATTTCCTTCAGACCTTGAGGGTCCATGACGGCTGACTCCTCGATGGTGTCCAGCCTCTTGCACATTAACTTCAGACCTTGAGGGTCCACGGCTGACTCCTCGATGGTGTCCAGCCTCTTGCATGATGTCAGACCTTTGTGAACTGGTATCTCACCTCCCAGTCCTCCAGTCTTCCCACCTTGTCTTGCAACCCCATGAGATGGTATCTCACCTCCCATCTCATTGGGCCGCACCACTCTTCCTTGACCATGCCCCTTGCCAGAACGTTGCACTTCTCCAGCAAGTAGCCCTGCTGCGACACCTCGGTGGTGCCCAACTTGTTCAACACCTTGAGGGTGTTCATCTTGATCGACACCTTGATGGTGCCTAACTTGCTCGACACCTTGAGGGTGTCCATCTTGCTCGACACCTTGAGGGTGCCTATCACGTCTAACACCTTGAGGGTGTCCACATTGTTCGACACCTTGAGGGTGTCCAGCACGTTGACCTTGTCCAGCATCTTGAGGATACCGAAGGTCCACACCTTGAGAGTGTGCAAATTGATCGACACCTTGAGGGTGTCCTGCATGTTGACCTTGTCCAACATCTTGAGGATGTCGAAGGTCCACACCTTGAGGGTGTACTTCACGGCGACCTTGTCCAGCATCTTGAGGATACCGAAGGCCTTGACCTTGTCCAGCATCTTGAGGATACCGAAGGTCTTCATCATCATTTGATGGCATAGCCCCTTGAGTCTGCAAGGCCACACCTCGTCTTGTACTCCAACTCGACGGAGCACTCATTCGTCCCATTGCCAGCGGCTCCAACTCTCGCGACGCGTCTGCATCTTCTATCTCCGGAAGGTCCTCCTTGACTGAGACCTCTTCCCTTGGCGTCCACATCGGCTGCTCCATGGCCAACTGACGTGCTTCTTGTAGGTGTTCTCGTTGAACCACCTCTGACCACCACGGATTCGGCTCGGTGCCTAAGTCCAACAGGTCAGTGCTCACATCCAGTTCTTGCCGTAGAGCCCCTCCATGTTCGCCTCGTAGTAGAGCTCGACCTTCATCTCGTCCATCACTGCCATTTGGTAGAGCTCCTTGTTCTCCATGCCGAAGGTCTCTGCCATCATGTCCAGCTCGTTCGCCTCCATGCCCTGGTCGGCCTTCTTGATCCAGCCGTAGACCTCGAGGTCCACCTCTACCAGTTGGCACCGAACTCGCTCTAGTCCACGACATGGCAAACGCCCCTTCAGCTGAGCGTTGGGCTCATAACCTGTGTTAGGCAGAGCAGCGCGACTTTTTGATCCTAAAGGAGCCTACACGGTCATAGGCATTTGTCACATGATATGAACAGATACTACACCTGTCCAGTTGCACAGTCATGTACATGAACCCTTTTGCAACATTAATTAATTGATTAAGTGTTTTTTATGTTTTATTAAATTATTATTATTGTATCATGTAGCTATCTGAATCTATTGTTCACAAGTTTTTTCAGTCATTCAGCAACTCATTCTTTCATGCATATTTGCATTCATTTATTCCTTTCATTATGTGTCATTCCTTCAGCCCATTCGTCATTCAATGCATTCATGTATGCATGCATGCAAGCATTCATTCAGTCAAGCATTCATTCATTTCAGTGTTCATTTAATTTTGTTGACCTTTTCTTGTTCCAGTCTTTGATTGTGTGTTCACCCATTATTGCTTTTCATTGTTTAGTTCATTCATGAGTCCATCCATCCATCTGTCCATCCATTCATTCATTCAATCTTTCATTTATGCATTCCTGCATTCATCATGCATTCAGGCATTTAGGTGTTTCACCTTTCAGCATTTTTTGAAGTCTTATTTCATTTTGGTTTATTCATTCAATCACTTGTTTCATTCTACTGATGTCCATTCATTGTTTGTGGTCTTGGTAGTGGTTTGAATGCCAGACTCAGACCAGATCAGGTTACAAATTCAACCGTCAATTGAATCAAATAAAAAAACAGCATGATGAATGACATGAGTGATTGATTTGTAGAATCACTTGAACCATGTTGGTGCTTCAAAGCTGCTACACAGCTAAGTTCCAGCTTGTGTCAACTCAATCATTTGACTTTGTCCACTTCCCAGGACTCACTGGTCAGCTGATGTGCCCACAACTTAATCTGACTTTGACTTGGATGAGTGTGATGCAGCTTGCCATGTGGAATTCATGTCCACAAAATGACTCTGAAACACATGATATTTTGCAAATCAATCAGGCCAATCAGGCAGGAATAATGATGTTGATGTTGATCTTCTGCTATGAGCTTGATAAAATTCATCGATCATTGATGCAAACTTGTGCATACAAACAGTCGCAAACAAAGTAGACTTGCATTGCCACTGACAGGCATATTCTACCAGTCTTCTATGCAGGCCCTTTCAAATGATGAGAGGTGTGATATTATTGTTTTTGCTGATCTAACCAACTGTTAACTAAGCATGGGTGCACTGAGCCTTGCAGCAAAGCATGGCAGGCACACTGCAAAGTGTGGTGTGTATGCTGCAAAGCATGCTAGGAATGCTGCAAAGTGTGGTATGCATGCTGCAAAGCATGCTAGGAATGCTGCAAAGTGTGGTATGCATGCTGCAAAGCATGCTAGGCATGCTGCAAAGAATGGTAGGAATGCTGCAAAGTGTGGTATGCGTGCTGCAAAGCATGCTAGGCATGCTGCAAAGCATGCCAGGCATGCTGCAAAGTGTGGCAGGCATTCTGCAAAGCATGCTAGGCACGCTGATGCACACTGCAAAGTGTGATATGCATGCTGCAAAGCATGCTAGGAATGCTGCAAAGCATGCTAGGCACGCTGCAAAGTGTGATATGCATGCTGCAAAGCATGCTAGGGCCGCTGCAAAGTGTGGCAGGCTATGCTGCAAAACATAGCAAGCATGATAGACAGGCTGCAATGCATGGATCTACTGCAGCTTGTGCTCATTTGAATTCTCAGGAGGTATGCAAGTGGGCTGGTGGTTGTGATGACTAGTCATTCATTCAATGCAGTCATGTGCATCCAATACAGTCTTAACCCCTGACTGGCATTAATGTACTGTCTTCTGTGCAGGCCTCTTTGGATGATGACGTGGTGGTGCTTAGACCCTCAGTTTTTTTTGCTGAAGTCTAATCATCTGTTAACTATATTCATTATATTTTTCCTCAAAAGCATGGGTCCACCAAGCCTTGCTCACATAATGCTTGCAAAGCATGGCAGGCATGCTGCAAAGGGGAAAGGGGGGAAGGGGGGAGGGGAAGGGGGGGAGGAGGGGAAGGAGGAGGGAGGAGGGGGAGGAGGGGGAAGGGCAGGTAATTTTGGACAAACAATCATCGCTGAAATGCTAAAACGCATGATGGAAGTGCTGCAAAGCACAATGTGGGTGCAGCAATGCACAGTATGTAGTGCTGCAGCAAAACACAAGCTGCAAAGCACGCTGTGTGTGTGTGTGCTGCAAAGCACAGAGTGTGTGTGTGTGTGTGCGCGTGTGTGTGTGTGTTGCAAGGCATGGTGTAGGCATGCTGCAAAGCATAGTGTTTGCTGCTGCAAAGCATTGTGTGCTGCTTCAAAATTCAGCATGTGCTGCCAAGCACCTTGATAGTGTACAAAGCACCTTTGCAGCATTGTGCCTACCATGCTTTGTAGCATGTCCAACACATTTTGCAGCATGTCAACCATGTTTTTATGCATCTGACAAACACTAACAGTCACTAACCAAGGTTTTCATGTGGAGGTTCAGTGATGTGTGTCCTGGCATTGTTTGGCGTGCATGCACTGCATGCACACACACATGATGATCTCACTGCACATATTATGTTTTGTGCTGCAAAGCCCATTCATGTGTGCTGCAAAGCACCCTCCGTGCTGCAAAGCACCCTCCGTGCTGCAAAGCACCCTCTGCGCTGCAAAGCACCAGGTGCTGCAAAGCAACCTCTGTGCTGCAAAGCACCACATACTATGTGCTGCAAAGGTATTGTCTGTGCTGCAAAGCAACAGACTCTGACACTTCTGCTGTTCTTACTGATGCTGCATGGTATGTTCAATGCCACAAAGACTGTGATTTACTGCAGTTATCTGCCAGGCTATGTTGGATGTATCTATGATGATGACAATGGGAAGATGAGCAGAACCTTGGATTGTGATTTGGAAATTGTTTGTTACTTGGAAATGACTGCCTGGATGTGTTGGATGCATCTATGATCATGATTTGGAAATGAGTGCTTGGACTATTTGAGCTTGCATCAAACATAGTGACATAGTTCATGTGCCGGCCGCAATCAAATTTTGGCTCTCACCAGTGACACGTATTTCATTGTCACAAAATCATAATTCTCAATGTTGGACTGGAGATAATTCGAGATAAATCACTGGATCAGCCATTGAAATGTTCTCAGACATTGACACTTCATTGATTGTCACAAATCAGCCATCAAAATGTACTCAGAGATACACAGTCACTTTATATCATTTCACCTTTGCTGTGTCACATCTCACCCCCGCTGCCGCCGGGAACTGCGCAGGTGTCAGAGACAGGCAGTAAGCAGAATCAGCTTTCACGCCTGATCACATTATAGACCTTAAAGACAAGCAGCAGTCATCAATCAACATAACCCCAATCAGCTCAGACTTCACAGTTTACTGACATAACCCAAATAAGAATAACAAGTAATCTGACACCTGTGACCGTCCTGTTGTGCCATGGGCCCGAAGCACAACAGGGTGGGGAAGGCGCCGTCTGGTGACCGCGAAAGAGAGCAGATCCGCCTGCTGTGGGCTTTGCTGGAGTGGGTGGTCCAGCAATTGGGCTTCATTGGGCAACAGCCCCTTGGCCATGGACAGCTGCTCCCAGAGCCCCACAGGACCCCCCACAAGAGTCAGGGCACCTTCAGGCAGAGTGCCACCTCCGCTGAGGACACCTCATCAAGGGGCACCACCCGCAGCACCACCTGCAGCCGGGGCACCAGCTGGTTCCAGACCGAGAGATCCAAGACAAATACCAGCCCCAGCTGCTCCCAGAGCACCCACAGCACCCACACCAGAGTCAGGGGCACGACCTGGAGCACCTTGGCAAACAGGGCCAGCACCAAGGGGGGGGGGCACCACCCATGTCAGCAGCACCTCCATGGGCACCACCAAGGGCACCACCCATGTCAGGGGCACCTCCAGGAGCACCACCAGGGGCACCACCCATGTCAGGGGCACCACCCATGTCAGGGGCACCACCAGGGGCACCACCCATGTCAGGGGCACCACCCATGTCAGGGGCACCGCCAGGGGCACCAGCAGGGGCAATGTCAGGGGCACCTCCAGGGGCACCGCCAGGGGCACCAGCAGGGGCACGACCAGGGGCACCACCCATGTCAGGGGCACCTCCAGGGGCACCACCAGGGAACTGGCACCAGCATCGGTGCACCCACAACAAGGAGCACCACCCATGTCAGGTCGAGAGGCACCGCCAGGGACCGGCACGCCAACACCCTGTAGGGGCACCAGCAGGGGCACGACCAGCAGCACCACCCATGAGGGGCACCTCCAGGGGCACCACCCACACCACTAACAGTCCCTCCAGAGGGGCACTGCCTGCAGCACCACCTGCAGAGAGGGCCAAGCGGCCATTGCCGAAGCCAGTACCAGCTTCAATATGGGAGCCCATAGGGGGAAAACCTCCTGAGAAGGCCTGTGCCTCAGCATGCACAGAAATCAATAAATTATTTTATAGTTCTTGTGTCAATTTAGTTAATTTAGTAGTCAATTGTTTTTTGACTTAATTGTGTTCAGGCCAGACCTACTGATCCGAGAACAGTGATCAGATCGAAGGCTTGCTGTGACAGTTTGTTATTTCTGAGTTATTGTCTTGTTTTCTTGGTGCAAATACAATCTGTCCACCAGGCCACAGGAAAAGGAGAAGCAGGGCCTAAGGAAGCTGTTAAGGTGCCACTTGCCAAACCTGCCGCTTTTTGGATGTTTTTGGGCTGTCATGGCTCACATAATTGAGCTATCATGGCTCACTTTGCAGTGTATGTCTTGTGATGAAGGCAGTTGCTCCCCGTGGAAGTGCACCAAAGACTGCTGCAAAGCAGCCTGCTGCAAAGCAGATCTCAGCAATGAACGAAGCTGATGAGGCCTTCTTGTCTTTATGGCACTTCAGTGGATCTGTACAATTGACAAGGTTGGTGCTATCTTGCTTGTCTCAGTGCAAGTATCAATCACAATGGTGAAAATCATTCAGCTGATGTCACCCATCCTGAGTTCATGCATGTTAATGCTCAGGCAGGATCAGCATTGCCAGTGGGAGCTGCAGCTGAACCTGTGGAAGTTGCACCTGTAAGCCTAGCAAGTTTGTAAGCCAGGTTCATTCATCCCAGTTTTTCTTGCATTCAAGATGCATGGCCATATCACCTTTGGTTCATGTCTGTGCCAGGCAGGATCAGCAGCAGCTTCATCCTCTGGGGCAGCTTCATCATCCACAGGGACGATTGTAAGCATGGTAAGCTTTTATTCCAGGTTCATCCTGGTAACTCTCATCCATTTTTTGCTTGCATTCAGGATGCATGGCCATATCATCTTTGGTCCATGCCTCTGCCAGGCAGGAGCTCCAACACCTGCTGAAGCTTCATCATCCACACAGGCTATCGTGAGCCTGGCAAGTTTTTATTCCAGGTTGATTCTGGCAAGTCTCAACCAGTCTTTGCTTGCACTCAGGATTAGGGATTGGGAATTGAACGCTGAGTTGTGGCATTCTTCTTGCACAAGCAACTGAACAGTTTGTGACAGGGGCCAGATGCCAAACAACCGGATGAAGAGGCAGAACCTACAGAGGAGGCTGATTGATTCTTGTGGATTATACCTGCACCACTGATTGATCCTTGTGGATTATACCTGCACCACTTGGTGGCAATGACAACAGTGACATTTTTCACTCATATCCTAAATTTCCAGGTGAGCAAAAAGAGAAAGCGAAGAAGGTCGCCTGGCCATGAAGAAAAGAAGAAACGTAAGAAGGAGCTTAGTTCAGCTTGGTTGATAACCACCCTTTAAGGCTACTGTTCAGGGGGGACTAGACCAAAATGTAAGTTACATTTCTTATTTGCTGAATGTCTGCCAGGTGTTGGTTTTGTGGGTAGGGTCTTCAAAATATCTGACTGTAAGCTTATGTTTGCATCACATCCTTCAAAAACACCCTTATTATTAAATAAAGAGCTTAAAATTTGGCTGCATCTTCGGATGTGTCTCACAGTGTTCACTTTTTTGTTCCATGCATAGCTATCAGGACAAGGAGAAGAAAGGCTCCTACTGATGGCAATGACCGGCACAGACCAATCTTGCATAAAAAAAAGGGGATGCTGTCCATCATTTGCAGCACATCACTGTTGACATGCATGCTGAAATGGCATTTTTTTGACTTTTTGCAAGTGCTCCTCCTAACCCCTGAAACTGTTGGCATGAGTTGCTCAGGAACTCCACGTCAAAGGCTCACCATGGAGGATGAATGAAACCCTGGCTGAGGATTTGTTTTGTTTTGCTGTGTTTTGCAGTATGCTGTCTTGCCACAGTCTGTGTAGAACAAATCTGTGTCAATACCAATGACACATTGCAAGTTATTTGGAATCAAGTTCATACTAATTTCAATGGTGCCACCTAGGAGACTAATGATTTGAATCTCTGATTGGAGGACAGGAGGGCAGCTATTATACAGTTCTTGGTACTGAAACAGAAGTGGCAGCAACATCAACTTGAAGTGTTGGAGCCATTGTTAAGATTCACAGCAATGAGAGAACTTTGCAGCACTCAGGTGGCTTTGTTGAGTTGGCACTGGTTCACATTCTGCAAAGTTATGGAACTGTGCAGAGATGTTGCAAAGGAGGAGTGCTGCACAGCAACGGAATGGTAACTTGGATTCAAGGCCTGTGGCTGTGCTGCAGAAATGTGGCAAAGTTTCATGTGTCACTGTGAATTATATATATTTTAAACAAATATACACACATCATTTATGCAAATCAAACAAGCACACATTGTCTGTAAAAAGCAAATTTATCAGTTTAATGGTTAAAATGCTGCAAAGCATAATAGGCATGCTGCAAAGTGTGGCAAGCATGCTGCAAAGCATGCTAGGCATGCTGCAAAGCATGCTAGAAACACTGCAAAGTGCTTGAAGCATGCTGCAAAACATGCTAGAAACACTGCAAAGTGCTTGAAGCATGCTGCAAAGCATGCTAGAAACACTGCAAAGTGCTTGAAGCATGCTGCAAAGCATGCTAGAAACACTAAATCTGCAAAGTGCTTGAAGCATGCTGCAAAGCATGCTAGAAACACTGCAAAGTGCTTGAAGCATGCTGCAAAGCATGCTAGAAACACTAAAGACTACAAAGTGCTTGAAGCATGCTGCAAAGCATGGTAAGCACGGTAGGCATGCTGCAAAGCAAGGTTCCACTGAGGTGTTCACAGGCATGGTATGAATGCTGCAAGATAAACATTGCTTGCCACTGCAAAGTGTTCTGATACAGTCTTAACCCCTGATTGGCATTAATGTACTGTCTTCTATGCAGGCCTCTTTGGATGATGACGTGGTGGTGCTTAGGCTTAGACCCTCAGATTGCGCAGATCTTTGGGAGTTGTCAACTGGACAGAGAACACTGCTGCAAGACATGAGTCAATGTCTCTACATCCTTGGAATCTGAGAGACTTGAATCAGTCGCTGTATGAGGCTCATGACCAATCAATCAACAATTTCAAAAATACACAATTAATAACAGCAAAAAAATACGAACCCAAAATTTGCAAAATACAAATATAAAGAAAAGACAAATTCAAAAATAAGCCAGAGAGCCAACCCCTTGTATTTTCCAAAACCTGCAGTTCTGATTTTGTATTTTTGGGTTTTCGTATTTTTTTGTATTTTTAAATATTGGCAGAAAGACCCTTCTGTAGCCACCACATGGACGTGACTGTGCTGCTCTTTACTGCGATTCTGGCCTTTGTCATGGGCAACTTTCTGATGTATGGCATCAAGACTATGTCGTCATGGATGTTCTGGAGAACCTCCCTTGATGGCTTGGTTGAAAAGGAAACCCCTGAAGGGGTGACCATGCAATCTATTGGAGTGGGAACAGATCTCACCATGGATGAGATCATGATGGTTTCCGACCACATCAGAGAGGTCAACCGAATGGACACGCAATTCATTGAGAGAGAGATTCATGACATGGAGATCGAAAACTACAGAAGAGAGATTGTCAACATCCAGCAAACCTCAGTGCCCCGACAATCCTTTGAAGCGATGAGGATTCACTGCGAGGCCGAGAAAGCCGAGATGATCCGCACTTGCCGTCGAGAACTTCGAGAGATCACGCAGAATCCTGTGTACTTCACTAGGAGCGGTAGAGTTTGGCACTCAGACCCAAGGTGCCCATCTAGGTTCACGGATCAAAGTATCCAAAGTAGAGGATACTGCACCCTCTGTGCTCACTTTTTAGGGCGTGAGGTGCCAGAACATGAATTTGAAGCTGGTGGACCGGTCACCGAGGCACCTTTAGTTTGATTTTTTCTTCATCACACCACTTTTTCACCGGTGTGAATTGAGTGCCACTCAATTGTGCATTCAACCATTTCACCTTTTACCATTTGCCCCTTGGGCCCAATTTTCCAGGGAGCTAACCGCTTAGGGATTCACCCATGGGCATTGCGCCTTTGGCTATGCAGCTGACGGCCCTGTGACAAAAAGGCCATCCGTGCCTACTTGGACAACTAGCACTTCGTGAGGCTAAGACCGATTCTGAACACATCTGAATCAAGATGCATCCTATTTTATGCAGATACCCTTTGGCAATTACATGTTGTTCATGTATGCGCTCCAAAGCATGTGCTGCAAAGCACCCATGTGCTGCAAAGCACCCATGTGCTGCAAAGCACCCATGTGCTACCCATGTGCTGCAAGGCACCCATGTGCTGCAAAGCACCCATGTGCTGCGAAGCACCCATGTGCTGCAAAGCACCCATGTGCTGCAAAGCACCTATTTGCTGCAAAGCACCCATGTGCAGTGCAGCACCCATGTGTTGTGACCATTTCAAGCACTGTTTGTGATACAAAGCACATACTGTGGCACTTCAGTTGTTGTTGGCATTCATGGTTGTTTAATTTGATGAATGTCTGTACCGGAAGGACCTCTGGCTGAGTGAGCTGAAGATTTTGGGCCAGGCTAGTTGCATCTTCTTTGAGTATCAATTTTGCAATCAGTGCTGGATCACACCCATTTTAAAAGACTTGCTCTGCACCCAGTGACCTGTCATTCACAGTGCTTGACACCATTGAACTGATAGTATCAATGAAGGGTAAAATTCATTCTGGCTGACTGGGTAGCACATTTGTGCTCAGACTCGACCTGGATGTCGTGGAAGCATGCTGCGTTGCATGATGAGGAGCTGTTCACTGGTCTCTCTGCAGTAGCTACTGGTGGCTCTGCTAGCTCTTCTGGGTCCAAAGCAGCAGTTGGTGCCTCTGCTAGCTCTTCTCAGTCGAAAGCTGCTGGTCATGCTGCTAGCTCTACGCAGTCCAAGCCCAAGCATGGAGACTGGAAGAAAGCTGCTCTCAAGGAAGAAGAAGGTGATGCACCAGCTCTGAATATGATGGTGGATTGGAAGAGAGGCCCACTGCAGGAAGATGGCAACCCTAGGCCGTTGAAGAAAAGAACTACAGGAAAGACTTGGAAGAAACAGCCACTGATGAATGATGGTCCTGGCACAATCAGCAGTGATGATGAGAACCTGGTGCAGGATCAGAACGAGATGGTCATGGTGCACCTTTCTTTGCCCCTGCTTCGAATGCTACCGGCTGATGACAAGCCATCAACTACATATGCTTTGAATGGTATGAGTGCTGATCGCATCAAAGACATGTCATCTTCACATTGCCGTTGCCAAAAAAACTGCTTTCAACAGTTTTCTGTACGACAAGCAAAAGCCTTCAACAGTTGCTGGCATCAACTTTCCCGTGAGACACAGGTGCAAGTCCTGAGCCAGCTGTTCAATCCACTGGATCAGTTGGAAGAGCTGAAGAGTGAAAATGCAGCAGTGCGGAGTTTCCTGGATCAGGCTGCAGGAAATTTTGTTATCTTTCAGTTTTTTTTTAATAACTACTATTTTTGCCTATTTTGACATTTTGCTCCAAATCAAAGGACGGAAATGGAAGATAGATGATGTGGATGTCTGCTTCAATGGGTTCTGCAAGTTTTTGGGCATGAATCCTCGAACTGTTCTGAGGATGGCACATGGACTCTGTGACCTCCGAAGGATGAAGACTGCAACCACATGGCCGAGTTTGCAGAGGTCAGTGTGCTCACTTCTTCATGGAGTTCTACATGTGTGCAGCAGAGCAGCTACCAGAAGTTGAGGCTCAGACTGAAGAAGCTGATGAAGGAGCCTTTCAACAAACTTTTCGGTGGTCTGTGGAGGTGACAGCCCCTGAGAGGATAGCTGCGCTTGTTGGGGGTCAGATGGAGGATTACAGAGTGCCAATCCGATATCTTCCGCCTGGGAAGCTGGTGGACCTGTGGTACCAGTTTTTGTCTTGGGTTGAGACCCAGCGCAAGCAGGGAGCAGCTGCAGAGGGAGAAGCTGCAATCCCGTCCTGGGCCACATTCTACAGATGCTGGACGGAGCTTTTCCACAAGCGCTGCCTCCGCTTTCGTGAGAAGAGCCAGCATGCGGAATGTGATGACTCATGCTTCCGGTTCCGCCAGCAGCTGGGCAGAGGTGGCATATCAGCTGCTGACAGAGTGCAGATTGCCAGCAGGTGGCGTGCTCACTTAACCCAGCAGTGGATGGACAGAAGCATCTACTGGAGTCTGAGGTTTGCTTCTCGCTCTCGAGACTTTGGGGTCCTGGTGGTGATCGCAGATAGCATGGACAAGACAAAGTGGTGCTATCCGAAGTACCACCAGATGCATCGTCTACCACATGAGCTGGAGAACTTTAGCCGACCGCGAATGGTCTTGACAGCAGTCCTTGCCCATGGATGGAGGACAAGCGTCTATGTGTCTGATGATGAGACAGTCAACCATGGTGCCAACATGGTGTGTGAGGTGCTCAGCCGGACTCTTCAGTCCATCTTCGAAGAAAAAGGTCTTGTACCACAGCACCTGTGCCTTCAATGTGACAACACGGTAGCCTTCTCCAAGAACTCTGACACCCACTTGTGGGTTGCCTACGCTGTTGCAAGAGGCCTCATTGCCTCAGGCAGTGTCAATTACCTCACAAAGGGGCACACGCATGAGGATGTTGATGGTTTCCTCTCTGAGCTGCTGCCAACCTTGCGAAGAAACTGCTTCAACTCTGTGGCTGATGTGATTGCCTTGCTGAGGGAAGATCTGGCAAAGAAGGTGGAATTTTGAACATGTTTGAGCCATTTTACATGTTGAAAGGCAGCTGCTGTCTCATTGTTTTGTTTATTTTTGCTTCAAATATGAAAGTGGGTCAGTTTGGATGATCTGATTTTGACATCATTGCTTTTGAGGAATCTTCTGGGGAGACGCTCATTGTGGAGGAGGCTGTGCCCCGCAACTACAGCAGCTTCCTGGAGCAGCTCCGGATCAAGATCTATAACTGCTTCATGCCACGTGGTGACACCTCTGTGCCTCACAGCTTTACATACAAGCGGAGATCAGATCTCAGTTCAAAGGAGGTTGGGCAGTTGACAGGAACAAACCGGGAAGGTCATGCCAGAGATGTATTTGGCATTTGCAAGAGCCGCATGAGTGACCCTGCCCGTGATTCGTTCAAGCCTGTCCTCGTGCTGCCTTTTGCCTTTATGGATTGGGTTGGAACCTATGATTCAATCCCAATTATGCCCAGGAAGGTCGTATCACCTGAAAGAGCCAAGGCTTTGGAACGGCTGGCTATGATTTTGGAAGGCAATCCATATCACAATGCAGAAGGGGCAGCAACACTTCGTAAACTGGCCGCTTGCAAGGACTGGGAGGATGAGGTGAAGAATTTCTCGTTCTTCATGCAAGATCCAGAGGTTGTCCCTACAGTACTGCCAACTCATGGGAGTGAAGAGTTCTCTCATTTGCCAAAGGTGTGCCGCCCAATGTTGGCAAAGTTTGGATGATTGGTGGCCTTTGGATGACTATCCGTGTCTCTGCAGCTCAAAAAGGACTCTGTGCCATGTTTCTCTCAGCCTTGCTTAGTTTCACTCAGTCTTGCTGGAAAGTTTTCAAGCCTCAGACTGCATTTTCAATGCAATTTGGTATGGTGCTAAAACTATTTCGTAGAAGGAAAATGTCTTAATGCAAAGCACACCTAACAAATCATTGCGATGCTGTCAGGTGTCAGCAGTGAGGGCTGCATGCTTCAGGCTGAGAGGTGCACTGAGTTCTTGTCTGTGCAAAAATTGTATTTTCATTGCAGGATTTTCAGGCATTTCATGTTCAGCTATACTTGACATTTCATTTTTTTTAGCAGCGTTGGCCCAACATTGAGTGTGTTTTTGTTGAACCAACAGTGTCAATGAAACACTGAATAATTTACATTAAATTAGTTGTCACATCAATTGCCAGAACTGAATGTGATTCTGCATGTATGCAACCAACACATCAATAATAATATAATTCATGATCTAACATGCATGCAGGATTCTGCATATTTGCACCACCAAATATTAACTGAGAGCCATGGGGAAGCGGTGCCACCTAGTGATGGTGCTGCTGGTGATTTAGCATCAATGAGGAGTCGGACAGAGGCAGCAGCAACCCCGAGGTTGAGCTCAACGGCAATATCCGCCATCATTGATTTGACATCAAGGCACAGAAAACGCAAAAATCAAGCAGGACAAGATGGAAAAGGACGCAAACGCTTGACAGGAGACCCCGTGGAAGCTCGGCAGGAAGAAGCTCATCAAAAGGCAAAGAATGCAATCGATGCAGCCCAAGAAGCCCTGTGGGCACATGGACGTCAAAGCCAAGAATGTCGGGATGCATTGCGATTGGCTGAGGAATTAGTCAATATCAATAATGCCCTTCATGGAAGGATGAGAGGAGGGCCTCAAGCTGGAGGCTCTGCTTCAGCAATGTGCCCTGCAGCTGGAAGGTCCGATTCAACAGTGGGCTGTGCAGCTGGAAGCTCTGGTTCAACGATGGGCTGTGAAGCTGGAAGCTCCGGTTCAGCAGAGGGCCCTGGCTTGGCATCAGAGGAGGCTGAAGAGGAGTTTTCAGAGATAGAGGTGGAAGAGTTGGAGTGATTCTGGCCACTGGCATTTGTGCCTATCTGGGTTGGATCTATGTGCCAGTTCGGTATCTTCCACCTGGGAAGCTGGTCGACCTAGGAGGCAGTTTTTGTCTGGGTTGAGACTCAGTGCATGGAGGGAGAAGCTGCCTCTCTGCTTTTGTGATAAGAGCTAGCATCTGCCAGCACCTGCTCTGGTGGGGGCAACTCTGGTGTGTGCCACACGGAAAAAAGAAGCTACTTTTAGGTGTTCTACTCATTTCTGTGCTGCAAAGCACAATGCTTTATGGGAATTGCTGCAAAGCATTCAGCATAGCATGCATTTTCAGTGCTGCAAAGCACAATGCATTCAGCACCATGAACTATTTTCTGCAATGAGAATTTCTTAGTGCTGTCAGGTGTGAGTGGTGACTTCCGAATGCTTCCTGCTGAGAGGTGCTGAGAGGTGCATTGATTGATTGTTTCCCATTTGTTCATTGCAGGATTTCCAGACATTCATGTTCAGCAATGTTTTTTTTAGGTAACTTTGATTCTTTGATCATACTTTTTTTTCTGCAGCATTGGCCCAACATTGTCAAGTATGTTTCTGTTGAAGCAATATTGAAGCATTGACCCAGCACTGCTTTTACCCAGCACTGCTTTTACCAGCATTGATCCTGGTGATTTATATGACTGACTGATCTTTTCAGTTTCAAAAAATGGTTTCATGAGGCTGCATCAGAAGCAGTCACGCTTTCAACGCAGCTTCCATTGACCTGTCTCAGCCATGGCCATGCACTTCAACACAGTGTACTGCTTCAAGTACTACCATCAGGGTAGCCAGAGGCATAGAGAGTGGCTCTTTCTGGGCCACTTTCACCCTGGCACTGCAGGGGAACTCCGACCCTGTGGCTTCCTGAGGCGTGCACGGACTCGCAGGGTGCGTTTCGAGAGCCAGGGCCAGTGGTCTACAGAAGATGTGGCAGGTGTGGGCATCCAGCGAGTCATCCTGTCAGACTTTGCTTGCAGCCCTGCAGTCAATGTGCGAAGGCACTACCTGATGTTTGATAGGATCCCTGGCACCTCAGTTCCCTGGATTTGTTTTTGGCAAAATGGTTTATTTGATGTCTTTGTGTGAGAATTTGAGGGAGCATGGTTCATGGTTTTGATTTGACATTTTTGTTTTACCAAGGCCTTTCAGGGCCACAATCGTGTTGCCTGGTACATGGGCTCATGGCAAGTCATTGGATCTATGATCTGCAGCCCACGGGGCCCCATCCAGCACCGCATCCTGGAAGTGGGCTGGGTGGCAGTTTATCCTGATGAAGAGGATGATGACCAGCTGGCCCTGCAATGGGAAGTGGTGTGGTGGTAGTCATTGTGAACTATGATATGGAGGATGTTTTTTGCCACTGACTGGAATTGATGATTGCCTGGCATTGATCTGATGGGCCGATATTTAACTATCTCACCATTGTGGGGTAAGTCTTTTTTTTTGCAGCCAAGCTGCAGGAATCGCTGCCAACAGGGTAGCTGGGCAAAAGCTGCTTATTTTACGCTAGACCGGAATAGCTGCCATTGAGGCAGTGGGATAACTGTTTTTGCAGCTGTGCCAAGTTTTTCCTTAGCCACACTGGAATACCAACAGGGCAGTGGAAGATGTAGATGTGTGAAATCACCAAGATGTTGTTCAGACATCTCCACTGCCACTGCTGGGCCAGCAAGAAACTGAGACATGTGAAATCCTAGCATAGGAGCAAAAGATGCCTTGTTTGCAAGACAACAGTTTTCAGTTTGTTTGATTGCTTGCTTATGGCCACCTTTGCACTATATTTTGCCTGAAGCCAGATTGCACCACAGTTGGGAAGCCAGGTACGACATGGTGTTCCTGGGTTGCTTAAGGCATGGTTCTCAGCAGTCTTGAAATCTTGGAATGTTGAGCTGTGAGCATTGATCTTTCACCAGCACCAAGTGCAGTGATGCTATTAGAATGTTGTGCATTTTGCAGCAATTTTTGGCCCACCTGAAGGGTAGTTTTGGCCATGTCTGCCCCATTGCAGGGCAACTGTGAGTTGACCCCTGAGGAGCAGGTACTTGTTGATGGTTTCAGATGCAAGCCAACTGGTGGCAAGGACACGTGGGAAATTGTTGGGAACTTCCTCATCAGGAAGCATGCCAAGGACAGAAAAGAGGCTTTTCATCCACTTCATCGTAGCACCCCTGTGGAGCCATACCAGCTCACTGACCAGAGGCTGACCATCCTTTTCAAGAGCAACAATTCTACATGCGATCGGTCACTTTACAAAGATGCGTGGAGAGTTGGCAGGCAGCCATCAATTGCATCTGAATACTGGAAGGGATTCACGATCTTCACAAAGTTGCAGCAGGAGGATTCCACTGCAAGAAGCTCACAAGAGCATTTCAATGGTGATGAGCTCTGGTTGAATTGGCATCCCACGACAAGCGAGCTTAGACGACATCCCAAGAAGGATAGCAACATCCCTCAGGGGGATAGTTTTCCCTCTTCCGCTGATTGCTCTCAAGAACGAGGGCCTGAAAAACCCCTCGGCTAGCTGGTTTCCCACTACAAGCGCAAAGCACAGGCCTGAGCAACAACATCCCAAAGAGGATAGCAACATCCCAAAAGGGGATGATTGTCCTTCTTGCTCAGAACGAGGGCCTGACGGACAGTATGATCCTGAAAGAATCATTGAATACTTTGACTGCTGAGAAGGTCAAACATATATGCCAAAATAGTAGATATTTATCCACGGAGAAAAGAATCCTGGATGAAAAAAGGTGGGCTCAGTTGCATGACTTGCTTCAGTGCTGCCATTATTGAAACCATATTTGCGAGCAGCCAGCTGTGGCTCACTCCATGATGTGTTTAAATTTGCTTCATTGCCAGGCAGCTGATGTGACATGATTGATGTCACTTCTGGCAGGGTGGATTCAAGGACTGGCTCTCATGAACACTGTGTGGATGATACTTGTCTGCTCCATAATCTGGATGATACTTGTTTGGATGATACATGTTTTTGTGACACCTGCTGAGAACTGGTCATTCTAAGCACGAGACACGGTAGTTTCTTGCTATTTTTTGGCTCAGATTTTATGCCTGAATGGCGCTGAATGTCTGGGCTCATGTGTGATGTTTGATGAGACTGTCTATTCGTCTGTGGAGGAGACAGTCAACCATGGAGCCAACATGGTGTCGGAAAGTGCAGAAGCTGCAGGAGGTGATGCAGCAGAAGGTGATGGTGGAGCTGGTCTGGCAGAAGGTGATGGTGGAGCTGGTCTGACTGATGAGGATGAGTCTGACCCCACGGCTCCCTTTGAACATGGAGATCCAGTGGGAAATTTCCACTTGCAGATGTATGCTGTCCCACCACCACCGCCAGGATACAAGGCACCCCCAATTGCGCTCAGAGGTGCTGGCAAAGGTCACAAGGCACCCATGATGGTGCTTGATGGTGCTGGCAAGGGTGGCAAGGCAGCCCCAGTGATGCTTGATGGTGCTGGCAGGGGTGGCAAGGAAGCCCCAGTGATGCTTGACGGTGCTAGCAAGGGTGGCAAGGCAGCCCCAAAGCAGCGTTATTTTATTCACAAAGGTGCCAAAGCACCCTCAGTCGCGCTTGATGGTGTGTCTACAGGTAGCCCTAGCTCTGCCTCTGAGAGAAGCCTGGCTAGCACACATGAGAAGGCCCCGGAGAGCAACCAAAAGGGCAAAGGCTGCAAGGGCAAAGACGTGGAGAGATTGCCTCAATGGGTACTTTTGAAGGATGGGATGTTGCCTGCACATCCTGATCATGAGTCGGATGCTGAATCTTTGGACCCCATTGAGGAAGAAGAAGGAGAAGAGCAGCTGAGTGTACCATCTAGTTTCACAGGATGAGCCTGGGGCTGTTG